TATATATATATATATATATATATGCATGCACTTAGAAAGGGATTTTTATTTTACGAAAAAGTTGTTATAAATGGCAGCATTTTGTTGTGCAATGAGGGTTCCTTCGGGAATTTTGAACAGCCCCCCCACACACACACTTTTGTCCGGACCACCGTGATCGGTTCAATGCGATTTTTCACCGTGAGTGACCTCAGCCCTTAGCCTTACAAGTAAATACAATATTCAACTATGTCGCATAATGGTTTGATCTACGTAATGCTCAGTAAAATTGCAACGATACATACGTTCAGTTAAGTGTTCAGTGCATTGGCGAGGAACATTATTCACATAGATAAGGCAATAGTGTTAGCCTTATTCCTCGGAAGAAAAAAAAACAGGAGAATGGAGATATAGTTTGGTTGATATTTCGATGAAGGCATGTTGCCGAAATATCAACCGATCTCCATTCTCCTGCTTTTTCCGAGGAATAAGGCTAATACAACTGCCGTATCTACGTCCAGTAAAGGCACATCGACAGCAAATTTCGCCATGAACTGATCACGGTGGTTAGAACAAAACCGTGAGGAACTCCTTCGAAGTTCTCAAAAAAAACCTCGGCATGGCAAATCATCCCATTCTGGCTGTACGTTGCGGCTCGTTAAACAAGCGGAGTGTGCCCCTTGCGTTGACCTGGCGGTCCATGACAGTGTCGTTGTCACGCATGTATACTGCTGTCAGCGCTTGGAGCTTCCGCCTGTCAGAGCAATGGGCGAGGATGGTGGTGCTATTAAAAACCAGTCTACTCAGCTGGCTGCGGTGGACCTTGGGATGGCGACTAGGGCCTCCATCTTACAGATGCGCCCGCCCAGAGTCATGGCCGCGTGGCCTATTTAGGCACCATTAGGGCGGCGCGGACAGCCGCCGGTATTGCCGCGAAACTGGTATGCTATATTGGCCATTTTTAGTACAGAGGGGCCATGTGATGGGTTATCCTTAAAAACTAGGCTGGTCACTTCCAAGCTCCGGTAGAGGATGATGAGCTTGATTTCGTCCGGACGCTGGACAGGTTGGCAGTTTTTGGACGCTATGTCTTGTATACTCTTCTTGCCCTTGTAAGCTGCTGTGGTTCTCATAGGAAAGGTTAGGTAGAGAAAGTCTATTCGTAACAACGAAAATTCGGCGGAGAAGATATTGGACAACAAATATGCTGTAATTTAAGCAGCTTTTGGATGCCTTTAGCGTATGATATATATATATATATATATATATATATATAATATATCAATTATTACTTCCTAATCCCATCACCACCTAAAACATCAACCCAACTGCGCTCACATATGCCATATAATCATACTTGTGCACCATTAGCACACTTCTGATGGAGTTTCACGCGAGCTATCCAGCTCCTACCCTTGTTTGACTCTAGAATGTTTGGTTTTCGGGCTAGCAGAGGCCGCGCCGGAGTTCAGAGGACCGCGTCCGGCGAGTTTGAGGAATATCCCCAGCCGCCGAGGATTGCCAGCGAGCCTGGCGCCACGCATGGAATGGGACTAATCAAAACACCCCGCGTCTCTCCAATGGTGGACAGCATGTCTGACCATAAGTCAAATGTGTGATAAGATCAAGCCTATGCAATGTGTCTGATTACGGGCTACCTCACAGCCAATGCAGCTTGCGGCAAAAAACGCTCCGCTGCTTAGAAACGTTCGGGCGTACAGCCTTAACCAAAACCTTAACAGATCAAACATTTTCGTTATTGTTTCAGGAAGAGATTCAGGAGCACAAAGAATCTATGGACCCAAAATCGCCAAAAGACTTCATCGACGCTTACCTCATTGAAATGTCATCCACGTCAGATTCTTCGGAGTTCACAGGCAAGCAAGCGACTTTTCTATCGCTCGGCTCGGCCATTGGGGACCTTAATACGCTGCAACTGACCAGAATCCTCCCGCCCCCCCCTCTCCCGCAGAGCTGACGCTGTACTCCGTGCTGATGGATCTCTTCACGGCTAGCACGGGCACCAACAGCGTCTCGCTGGAGTGGGCCATGCTGTTCCTGGTGCTGTACCCGGAATGCCAGCGGCGGGCGCGAGCCGAGCTGGCGGCCGTGGTGGGACCTGGCCGGCTGGTGACGCTGGAGGACCAGCCGCACCTGCCCTACACGCAGGCGCTGGTGGCCGAGACTCTGCGGCGCAGCTCCGTGCTGGCGCTGGGAGTGCTGCACCGCGCCACCGCCGACATCCCCGTGGCGGGTACGTGTGAGCTTCCGGGGTCAGACATCCCCGTAGCGGGTATGTGTGAGCTTCCAGGGGTCAGACATCCCCGTGGCAGGCACGTGTGAGATTCCAGGGGTCAGACATCCTCGTGGCAGGCAGGCGTGAGCTTCCAGGGGTCAGACATCCCCGTGGCAGGCACGTGTGAGCTTCCAGGGGTCAGACATCCCCCTGGCAGGCACATGTGAGCTTCCAGGGGTCAGACCTCCCCGTGGCAGGCACGTGTGAGCTTCCAGGGTTTAGACATCCCCGTGGCAGGCACGTGTGAGCTTCCAGGGTTTAGACATCCCCATGACAGGCAGGTGTGAGCTTCCGGGGTTCAGACATCCCCGTGGCAGGCAGGCGTGGGCTTCCAGGGGTCAGACATCCCCGTGGCAGGCAGGCGTGGGCTTCCAGGGGTCAGACATCCCCGTGGCAGGCAGGTGTGAGCTTCCAGGGGTCAGACATCCCCGTGGCGGGCAGGCGTGAGCTTCCAGGGGTCAGACATCCCCGTGGCAGGCAGGCGTGAGCCTCCAGGGGTCAGACATCCCCGTGGCAGGCAGGCGTGGGCAACCGCACATCCCCGCGGTATGTGCGGTTGGTGCTGCGCAGGGGGGAATGCACGCTAGTGCGCCAGCTCTGTGGCCATCCTGGACGTGATCATGGCGGTTCTTGTGCCCTGAAATGTCAGCAGCGTGGGTGTGTCTGCCCCATACCGCCTTGAATACCGTGCCAAGGAGATGGTGCCAGCAGAACTTCAGGAGCGCAATCGGTCCCGAGCATCCTTGCCGGCGCATTCCGAAATGCACCACTCCTCGCGTACAAATCCGCCCTGAGCCGTCGTGACTGTCGCCCGTGCAGGCTACATCGTGCCGAAGGACGGCCTGGCTTTACATCAACCTGTTACGCCATCCACCACGACGTCGAGTACTGGGGCGATCCCTTCAACTTCCGGCCCGAGAGGTTCATCCACGACGGCCAGTTTCAGCCCGACACGCACCTGGTCCCCTTCAGCGTCTGGTACGTACCACATCGCCGCCTCGGGCAGGCCCCGTCACACATAGGCACCCCGGTCCCCTTCAGCGTCGGTACGTACCGCTTCGCCGCCTCGGGCAGGCCCCGTTACACATAGCACCTGGTCCCCCTTCAACGTCGGTACGTACCACATCGCCGCCTCGGGCAGGCACCGTAACACATAGCACCTGGTCCCCTTCAGCGTCGGTACGTGCCACTTCGCCGCTTCGGGCAGGCCCCGTTACACATAGCACCTGGTCCCCCTCAGCGTCGGTACGTGCCAGTTCAGCCGCCTCGGGCAGGCCCCCGTCACACATAGCACCTGGTCCCATCCAGCGTCGGTACGTGCCAGTTCGCCCGCCTCGGGCAGGCCCCGTTCACACATAGCACCTGGTCCCCTCAGCGTCGGTACGTGCCACGTTCGCCGCCTCGGGCAGGCCCCGTCACAACCCACTAGCACCTGGTCCCCCTTCAGCGTCGGTTACGTGCCACTTCGCCGCCTCGGGCAGGGCCCCGTCCACAATAGCAACCCTGGTCCCCTTCAGCGTCGGTACGTGCCACTTCGCCGCCTTGGACAGGCCCCGCCACCCCATAAGTGCAAGTGTAACTTAGGTTTGGTCAATCCGTGCGGTTCTGTTCACATTGATTGTCAGCGCCAAAGCACCCTATCGCGCTTATCGCACTTTTTTCCGTCGCTGAAGTTCGTTTCGATCGTAGTTAACTGATAATGATGGTCAATGGAAAACCGATGGCAGCCTGGTTCGAGTCACCACTGCCAACAACTGCGTTACTCACTGGCGGCAGCGCGAAAACGCGCCGCTCGCCACGACTCGTGCGGAGGCTGCTGCTGGGTCCGGTCTAAGCCCCAACCACACTGCTGGCGAGCGGCCAGCGGGAGGGAGTATATCCGTGACGTCACCACAGAGGGAGGCTAGCTGTGGCTGTGGGGTCAATTACGTTGCATCATCACAGCTTTTATTGAGATGAAGTCCAGCGTCTTGCAATGTGATCTGTGCCCATAAGCTCTGATTTGTTTACAAATAGAGCATTTGTTTTAAAAAAGATCCCGTAGCTCGTGTGGTTAAGTTTAAAATAAGTGCGGTCAAGGAGGGATTTCGGCGATTATATAAGCATCACGTGATGGGGTTTGATGCTGGCAGCAGATATTCCGGAGCCGTCTGTAAGCTGCCTTTGATCATAATGGAGTTCACGTCTTAATGTTCACTTAGTGAGCGACACCCTCAGACCGCTCCATTGCAAATCCATACCGAACTGTGAAATGTTACGTAACAGCATTCTAGCACAGAGCTCCTCCAAACTAACATGCTTAAAACTTCTGCCGCCTGCTGCATTGTGCGCACGTGCAGAAACCCGCGCCCGTCTCCTTTCCAGGAAAAAGGATCTGCATGGGGGAATCGCTTGGCAGAACGGAGCAGTTCCTGTTCCTGGCCAACATCGTGCACCACTTCGATGGTGCTCACTCCCGAGGGCGATCCAGCGCCCCGGTTCGATTACCAGTGCGGCGCTGCGCAAACTCCCCTGCCCCGTTCCGCGTCACATTCCGCCCTCCGGCTGACAATTGTCAGAATCGATCCGCGAGAACACACCTGTGGCATGATAGTCCCCCCCACGTGAAGGCAAATCCAACGATAGTTGATTTTTTTTTTTAATCGAGATACCATGCTAGGATCTCCATGAAAGCAAGCCGCTCCAACTTAAAAATATATTGACCTCCACACTCAAACCACGCGACCGGGCCACATCACGAGATATGCACGCACCCTGGAGGTGGGGCCGTCCCTGGCGGAGCTCAGCAGGGCGGATCAGAAGTCGAGCGGTCCGCCGGGCCGGCCGGACTGGCAGCCGGCGCTCGGGGCCCTCCTCCTGCGCCCGGCTCGTCGCCTCGGACAGCTCAGCAGGCCGGATCAGAAGTCGAGCGGTCCGCCGGGCCGGCCGGACTGGCAGCCGGCGCCCGGCCGGCCGGGGCCCTCCTCCTGCGCCCGGCTCGCCGTCTCGGACAGCTCGGGAGGCAGGTGCAAGGTCTGCGAAGCACGCCAGCGGCCGTCGTCAGGCAGGTGGGACAGCCCCCTGAGAAGGCCAGCCTCTGGAGACGGCTCGGACCCGGTCTGCACACCGAAGGCACCCAAGTCACCAAGAAGCTGCAATACCGCTTGCTCGTCACAGACCATACGAAAATAGATGCCATTCGAAGCCATCACAAGTGCATGCTGGTTAAAAGCTATTGTGCTAAAAGAAAGCTTTCAACTTGAAACATTGATTGTGTAGAGAGCTTGAAAATACATAACAGACTTGAAAGAAGCATGTGTCATAAATATTAACAGATGAATTCGGTCGCGCAACGCGGACGCCTTAAAGAAAATGTTCCACATTTGCAAGTATTAAAGCAAGTATCAGATATGATGAAGTAGGCTCCCTTGCAAATATTGGTACAGATACAAGCCTCCCCAAAACAGTCTGTGCATCTTTGCGGGAGGGCACATTAGAAATTAAAGGGGTCAGGTATCAAGAAAGCATAGCTGCTAACTGCACCGGACTGATCTTCAAGATGACGATTTCAGTTGCAACCCCCATACAAATGTGGAGCCACTCCCTCTAAACGCCACCGTGGCAAAAGCCAGATCTACTAAGTTGCGGGGCAATTATGCCACCACGTGAAAAAGCATTACACGGTGTGCAAATGCCACCAGTGTGGTGTAGAGGCCACCCACGTTCTGACCATCAATCTACGTGCTGAAAAATGCCTCCCCTATGTTGATATACCCTAGTCCGCAGGGATACTGTGCACGCAGGAGTGACACTGCGTGCACTAACGCTGGGCCCAGTGACTTGATTGTGGGAATTTAAGTCTGTGGTAATGTCTGAAAAATGCCGAGGGCATATACAAGACAATACGGAATGCCACCAGCATCTTTCGTGTTTAAAGATGAATAACGTCACAAGATGGTGTGCCTGGACCCGCATACGCGCCTGGGAAATTTTTATAACTAATTGGTACGACGGTAGTGGTATCTCACGAAAGCTAAAAATAGAGCGGCTCGTATGGAGACCATAGAGCGCTGATATAGAGACAAAGAGCGTCTCATGCAGAGGCTAGAGAGCGGCTCATATAAAGGCGAGAGAGCAACTCATGTAGAGGCCAGAGAGCGCCGAGCAGCCACCATCGCCAAATAAGGCTACAAAACTATTTCAAAACGACAACCGCCGATTTCATGCTGCTGTAGTCGATGGCTCATATCACTGAAAACATCACACGGCTGCAGCATCCCTTCAGGGAAGATTGCCAAGCGGGTAGTGTGCTCCAACATGACTCTCCTCGGCCACACTGTAGTCCAACACACCAGTCGGCCACACTGTAGCGCCCCAGCAGGGGCAGCCACCACCCACCTCGACGGAGAACTTTTTCCGTCGGACCTTGAAGGCGAGGTCAGCGGAGCGCGGGTGGTAGCGGGCGGCCAGCACGTTGCGGGCGCTGAGCCGGTGCAGCCGCAGCAGTCCGTGGTAGTCGCTGTAGGCGGGGCTGGCGGCGGCCGGCGTACCCTGGAACGACTCCAGGCCGAGGCTGATGTCGGCCGCCTGGCGGAGCCGGCTCACGCTGGCCTCGTCCTGCACAGACGGCGGGAGGTCAGTACGGCGCCGGACACAGACGGCGGGAGGTCAGCACGGCGGCGGACACAGACGGCGGGAAGTCAGCACGCGGCGGACACAGACGGCGGGAGGTCAGCGCGGCGGCGGACACAGACGGCGGGAGGTCAGCGCGGCGGCGGACACAGACGGGGGAGGTCAGCGCGGCGGCGGACACAGACGGCGGGAGGTCAGCACGGCGGTGGACACAGACGGCGTGAGGCCAGCACGGCGCCGGACACAGCAGACATTCTCAGCACGGCGCCCGGCGCACGGACACGGCCACCGCGGACACATCTAGAGAAGCACGATATAGCTCTGCAGACAACCGACACGACGCCCGACAAGAAATAAATTCACCAGCTTCTTTCTGCTGACGGGATACGTTGAAACAACGGTGGGAGGTAACACGGACGGCACGCTGGGAGCTGCTGATCAGGGCACGGCAGTTACATAAATCAAGCCCAGCCCGGCCTCCATTCGTCGGACCGGGCCGCAGTTTGACATGAGTACGCTCTCGGCAATACCTGGTAGAGCTGAGTGAAAATGAATCCCGAGAATGGCCGTTCGTAAAGCTTTTCGACGCTTCAAAAGATATTCTAATGACCACATAGACAGTCCCATTACGGTCCAGCGGGGACCCGTACCGTCCAGAGATGCGTCGGCACGGTCACCATGGCGACGGCGGCCGTGCTCCGCAGCAGCAGCCGCAGCAGCAGGCAGGCGCGCACCACGCGGGACGGCGGCGCCTCCCAGAGCGGCGAGCCGAGCGTGTACGGCCACGCGCCGCACGGTGGCGTCGGCCTCCCCCGCTTGGCGGGCGAGCCGCTCGCAGGCGGCCAGGAGAGAGGCCAGGAGGTCCGGCTCCGGTGGTCCTGTACGGACACAGGGCGGTCAGGGTCCGGCGTCGGTGGGGGTCCTTTCAGAGGAGACGTGAGAGGGCCCGGCTTCGGGGCGAGTGTCGGGTCTTGGTGGTCCCGTCTGTGCGCGCGGGGTGATAGGTCGCGGCCGAGCGCACCAGCCAGCTACGGCCACGCTGGTCCCAGTGTGCCGATAACGAGACGGGAGTACAGATCATCATAAACACGCACATGCATGGCCACTATCCACCATCGGTCAATAAGCGGGCCATCTCCTCCTTGCACTCCACAAGAGCTACGTGGCCGTGGCCGTGGCCGTGGCCGTGGTCCGAAGTCCAGGCCCGTCCTCACCGTCCGCCGGCGGGCCGTGGTCTGGACACGTGGTGATGTCGGAGGCTTCGATAACCGACTGATCGATGAACTGGCTCAGGTGGTCGTAGTGCTGGCCGAATCTGCCGGAGATGCGGTGTCACAGGTGCGCACGTGTCACACAAATGAGAAAACAGAGAAGGGTATTGATTGCCAGTGCTATTCACCTATACACATTGGAGGATTTGGTCGGCTTTCAGCACCCGGTTTTGTTTCGACAAGTCCCGAAATCTGAGCCTTTTGACTAACGCTGACTTATGAGCCTTAACCTGAACGGCTTCCAAACAGTTATGAATAACTGAAATCAAAAGCGCCAAACTCCTGCATATACTCAGATTAAGGATACAGCAGCCCCCGAATTCAGCACCCACGGCGGGAGCTCATCAAAGGAGATATAAAACGCGCAAGACAACAGTCAGCAAGCCTCAGCTATGCTGGCGCCTCTTCCAGCTGATTGTTCACTGTGTGGCCGAGCGCAGGGTGACGGAGGCCGACCCAAAGACCCCGGCTCACCTGCCGGCGGCGGGTGGTGCCCCCTGCGGCAGGCCCTGGTACCGCCAGGCGATGGTCATCCTCTGGTCGGCCGGGCTGGCGGACGGCAGGCTGGCGGCCACCGTGGGGTCCGTCGGCGACGGCAGCTCCAGCGTCTGATCACCGTGTGGGGGGGGGGGGGGGGGAGGACACGACGGTGAGGTGCGGCGCGGGTCAGGCACCTCAGGGGCTACGCGGCGGGACACGAGACCTGTACAAAACAGCGACCAGACTGTATGGCATGCTCAGCTATCTAGTAAAAACAAACAGGCCGCCTCAAACTTCCCGCAATTCTTGCTCACTCGCTCAACTGAGCCTCAACGTTCTTTATGTCAATCCCAGAAAAAGAGCTGCGCAAATTTTGGTGGCATTGATGGGGCCTGATTCTACCAATCATTTAAGTCTGCTTCCACATACTTGCGTCGTCACCGCACACCTGAACACGAACCAAACCACAGAAGTGATGCCCTGCTCGCTCTCAGCGGCGGGACGGACGGAGCAACAGGGACTGAAGCTCACCATGCTCCTGGGGTCGGCGTCCAGGCTGGAGACGAGCAGCGGGTGCCGGTTGCACACACCCTCGGACATGAAGTAGCTGAGCAGGAGGCGGGCGTAGTCACCGAACCGATCCTCCTCTGCGGCCCGGACAGACAGGTCCTGAGTGGCCAGACGCCGCCAGACGGGCGCGGCGCGGCGGCGGGCTCGCTCGACTCCGTGTGGCGTCAAACAACTCTGTAGGAGTGTTTTGCGCAGCTGCTCAGCCATGATACGCACGCGGCGCGGCGGCGGGCTCGTTCGACTCCGCATGGCATCAAACAACTCTGTAGGAGTGTTTTGCGCAGCTGCCCAGCTATAATATGCACGATTCTGTAAGGCTAAACAACGTGGATGTCCTCTGCTGCCATGGTCCCTTTCTGCCCGACTTTTGAGCAAGTCCCAGCATTGGGTTAGGTCAGGGCATTCCAACAGGCAGCAAAGGTGCATGAGGTAAGAAGAAACACTAAACAAAACCATCCCAACACTATGGGCGCATGGCATACTTCCTAAGGAGGCTTAGCCCTGTTCGACCACAACTTTAATCATCAGGCACGTTTTTACTCACCAATTACCACAAGGGACCCCAGTGGGATGCCTCCATCTGGGAACAGTAAACAGTGATTGTTGGTCTTGACACTAAGTAGGAAACACAAAGCAGTGTAGATGGCCTCTTGATTTCTTTCACTGGTGACAAATTTACTGGTGGCTAGCAATTTTTTACACTGGAACTTTTTGAGCAAAATACAAAGTTGACACTTGACAGCATATGTTCATGTGATGGATGCCCAAATTTTGGTTGCATTTGCATGCATCATACACTTAGAAAGAAGAACAAAGCTCAATGCTGTTTGCAACTTTGTATTACTTCTTCATATCATAATTCCAACATTTAAAAAATCCATTATCTATCCAAGAAATAACTTCATTCCCCACACTCACCCATAATGTGGTCCAGAGATGGTATTCCGCATGATATTATGGTCTGACCAGAATGCAGTGATGGTTTGGTTCCCATAACTCTTGGAGCATGATCTCCACACTTCTGGAAACTGGTCATCACCCTCCACCTGCAACAACTGTCATTTGTTGTTAGAACACATAAATTTGTGACTACCATAACTATTGCATTCAGCTTCCTTTCATGCATTTTCATAGCATAATGCTTAGCAAGGACAAAACATGCCTGTAGATCCATATAAACGGCCTCTGAATTCTAGGTGAATCTTCAGACATGATCGGAAAGATGGTCAGGTATGCTGGATGATTCTTTCCAAAAATTCAGGTACTTTATTTGTCTGTCCTGATGGCCCAGTCAGTTAGAATGCCTGCCTTCTGACCCACCCACCTGGGACAGTAAGGGTTCAGGCTGCTTTGGTGCTCGCTGTTTTCCCTTGACAGGTATGATCTGGAGCCTGTGGTGGCATCCACCCTTAATGTCAGGTGATGTCAGGGGGCAGGACAGATAACGCAGATTATTGAGGCACATCAAAGTTCAACCAAATTCTGCTGTTAACTTAAAATTTTTGATCAAATAGTGGGGTCTGAGTTTAAACATGCAATGTTTAGTGCAAACTCTGATCCTGGAAATCCATCCAATGAAAAGGTGGGATTTAGTCCTTCTTAAGGAAAAAATAACAGCAATATTGCTCAGACTATCAGTAATGCAGATACTCAGTAATGGAAAATGTATTTTTCTGTGCAGTGTACAAGAAGATATCTACAAAATGTCAATATCAGCTTCAGGCCAATTGTGTCATCCAAAGCCAGAAAAGCCCATGAACCATTAGTAAAACATAATTTAGGGCCTTTCGCCCATGGTTGGCAGAATTGCACACATTTATGGATGTTACGCCCACATACCAAAACACCCACCAAATACTGAGTTCTTTCACAGCCATCATTATGTATGCAGCATCCTGGTGCTGGCAGGCACTACTGGTTAAGTGTGGCAAATGGTGGGTCTAATACAGAACATGCAAGCATGACTGCTTGTCAATTACCTGCTGTAGCAAGGGCCAAAGGCTACATATAAAAGTGCATCAACCTGTAGCTTAAAAAGCATCTCAACAATAGCCTTGTGACACTGTCCTGTAACCCAGTGGCCTCATGGAATAATACCTTTGGCATGTACATACATAACTCAAGATTGAATTTGCCTGACAAGAAAGTTCTGCCACTGCTGAAATTTTGCCAAAACATCCATCCAGTGCACTTGACACCTATAATGCTCATTGGACACCTATGGCACATTGGTTGCTGAACAGGGCTGAACACACCTGTGCCAAACTCAGGTTGTGCCATATTGCCCTGGATTTCCATATTTTTTCCTTGAAAGGGTGCTAGGAGTATTTCGGCCTGAGCTTACATTCAGAACATAGGTGACTGAGCAACAAACACTGAATGCTGGGAGTGTGTATGCACCACAAGTACTGCTGTCATGTTGCTCTTATGCCAGAAATGCCAGTTGTAACAAGTTTTTTTTGGCAGTCTGCCACTGAGCATGACACCAGCTTTATTTCAAAGGTGCAATGGTGCCATACTACTCTCTGCACCAAGTTTAAGTCAAACCCCCAATGGCAAACCGCCACACCCGACGGCCTGAAAAACTGCATCATAGTCTTAGTAATGCAAATGAACAATGAAGGCGTGCATTTATCTGCCCACCTTCGCAATGCGCAGGCGAAATCCCTCTATAACCTTACGTCTGTCACCCCGACGAATGAAAACACACCTACAATTCAAGGCAGGGCAATACAACACCAACGCTACCTACTCAATGAACTCAAGGCTACCCAACGCCCAACCACCAATCAAGGCGACAAATACAGACCCAACACTATTGAAACAGTTGCGGCTGTATCGTCTAATAATGTGATACCATATCTAGACCAAACTTGACTTAGCCGAATTTAGATTTTTAGGATTATATTTCAATTCTGGTCACTCCCACAATAGTGTACTGAAGTTCATGCCAATTTTATGGGATAATTTATATTTGGGACAACGATAATCACCTACTTAGCCGTTCGCCAAGCTGCCACCACATTCACATTCAGATCCAGGTCCATATACGGGATTCAGCGGACTCCTCAAATTGGCCTGAAGCTGTGCACACAGTTGTAGTTTAATCTCCTGAGCGCAATGACCATAAAATCTCGGACCGATACGCCATATATAGATATAAGGCAGTGTGTATACACCCTCCAAAGCGGAGCGCGGTTACGCGCCGGGCTTATACACCCTCCAAAACAGAGGGCGGTTACGCACCGGGCTTATGCGCCCTCCAAAAATCTTTCAGATGGTTGTACGTGTCAGGCATACGCGGATTGGCAGCCTTGGAGGGAGAAAAGAGCAAAAATGTAGAATCTCGTGCGAAAAGTCGGTTGTATGCATTGACCTACACAAGTTTTTTATAGGTCAATGGTTCTATGCGTGATAGACATCAAATGATCACGAAATCCATCAACTCACTCTGAACCATTTCTGTTCTAATCACGAATTTTTAACCGCCGGGCCCGCATCTCCATTGGATGAATGGTTAGCGTGCTAGGACCGCTCGCGGTAAGCCCGGGTTCGAATCTCGACGATGGCCGCTGTTAAATGAGTGGTTTCATGGTCTGACGGCGTGGCGTGGTGATGCCAACTCGCTTCACTCCTAAGCGGAATGAATTATCGAAAAGGTCTGCATATCGGAGAGCACCGCAGTTTTTAATGTTAGGGGAGGGAATCCACACCCTGCAGAGATATTGAAGATTCCGTAAAGGTTGAGCGTAAATTTAAATGAGTGTGACGCACTGAATGGGCAGTGGAAGTGACGCACACGACGGCGGAGGCATGTAGGCAAAATGAACTCTAGACCAACGTGGTGGGCCCCTAAGCAGTTGCTAGTGCCTCGTCAGGCTGACCTATGAAGCCCCGGTCATAGCACAGGACACTCCGAGCAAAGTGGAATTATTCAAGACTATAAATTAATACCCCTGTGCAATCAAGAGTGCACGGGCAGGTTAACAACACGAGTCTCGATAGGGGGAAAGTCAGCCGCAAATGAGACCAGAGGAGAGGGCCCTCGATCAAAGTAAGGGGCCCCTGAGCATCGAGTGTCTCCGTGTCCTACCTCACAAGAGCCCTAGCATCGGCACAAGGCCCTTCAAGCAAGTAGAAAGTACCTGAGATTTGTATGAAGGACCCCTGAGCAACTGAGTGTACTCTGGCATATGCGGCCCCGGAAAAAGTGCATGTAGCCCTTCGGGCGAATGGGAGGAATCCGTGGATCCGTGGATCAATCAGCAGGGCTCAAGCATGGAGGCAGATAGCGTCCCAACAGCACATTGGGCCCTACGAAAACATGGGAAGAGATCAATGGTAGCGTGGAAAGCTCCTTAGCGATCACTTTGACGCAGCAAGTGGACATATAGGGGCAGGCAGCCAACAGCGTAATGCTTCTAGACAGCGTAATGAGGCCCCAAATTTTCCCCAAGCAGCACTCTCTCAATCAGCGAAGAGTGAACTTCGTTTACTTATGAACTCTTTACTTTTGCTAGCAATGGTTCTTGATCATCTGTAGGCTCAAACGTGATCATCTGTAGGTATCCAATTTTGCTGTGCTTTTGTTGTAAGGAAACTGCGTCCGTCCGGCTAGTTACGAGCCGCTTCGGAGCCTTTAGGCTCCCTCGGCATAATCCATGGGACATGGTCCTGCACCTCCCCCCCCCCCCCCCCCCCACCCTCTGCATTCGTCACCGGCCCGAGCAGCTGAATAAACGGGGCCCGCAGGAACATAAGGCCATCCATTCAACTAAGAAATGCTCACGACTCAATGTGTAGGGCTCTGAACGATCGAGTGCGCCAGAACAGGTTAACATATAGGGCCCCCGTCAAGAGCTTGGGACCCTCCATTCAAATAGGAAGTATTCAAGGTCCAATGTAGAGGGCCCCCGAATGATCGAGTGTGCCCGAGCAGATTAACAGATAAGCCTCCCAAAAAGAGCGCAAGAGCCTCCATTCAAATAGGAAATATTCAAGACCCAATGCAGAGGACTCTCGAATGATCCAGTGTATCAGAGCAAGTAAGCATATAGGGCCCGGTCAAAAGCGTAGGGCCCTCCATTCAAATAGGAAACACCCAAGACCCAATATAGAGGGCCCCCGAATGATCGACTGTGCCCGAGCAGGTTAATAAATAGGACTCGCAACAAGAGCGTAAGGCCCTTCATTCGAATGGAAAGCACTGAAGATCCTAACTAAATGACCCAGAATGATATAATGTGTCCGAGTAGCGTATCAGAAGGAGCCCGACAAGAGCGCAGGGCCCTTCGTTCGAATAAGAAGTACTCAAAACCCATTGCGGAGGGCTCCCGAAAGATGGAGTATACGCGAGCAGATTATCTGACTACTCAGACAGGAGTGTAGGGCCCTAAATTCAAACACCAAAGCCCAATATACAGGGCTCCCGAACAATCAAATGTGGCCGAAGCGGCGAACAGATGGGTTCCCCGGCAAGTGCGTAGGGCCCCATTTAAGTAGCACGTGTCCAAGGCTCAATATAGGCCCCCCGAAGGATCAAATGCGCCCGAGCAGGTTATCAGATAGCCCCCCCCCCCCCGGGCACGACGTCAGACTGTCGTGGGGAAAAAGCTACTGATCCTAAGCCCGAAGTGCCATTAAGATGACCACGACGAAATCTCAAATGGGAACACCGTCAATCCGATATGAGACCCGGAGGGCTGGCTAAAGGTCAGTGAGGGGGTGCGGGTCGGACCTCCAAATGCCAGCCAGAGGGCCCGTCGCACCGATTGGGCCCTGGGCTGGGTCTGGGAGCCCATTTCCCAAGCAGCGACAAGGTCAGGACCCGCGATTTACATTGGTCAGTGCACCCCGAGCCGATGAGGGGCCCCTGTGTCGGCCAGGGGCACACAGCGCCTAACCGGAGGTCCGATGTTGACAAGGGCCCCCGAGTTGTTCAGGGAGTATACGAGGGTGCCTGAAGAAGGACCGATGTGCCCTTCAAGACTGACGATAAACGGGCTGATGGGAGGCTGAATGGCTGTAAGGGCTGAAAGGCTGCAGGTCATCCTGGTCCGTGTGACTGTGATACCAAATGTCAGCCAGTATGCCTCTTTCGCCGATTGTGGACCTCTGGGACAGTGCGTCCACCTAGTTCAGCCGGAGACCACTTCACCGAATAGTTGACTCCGTGTTGTTCTGAGCCCTGGGGCCCCATTTCTCTAGCAGGAACGAGGCCGAGGCCCGCGATTTGCATTGGTCGGAGTCCCCAAAACAATGAGTGGTCTTTTGACGGTCAGGCCCCCAAAGCGTCCAACAGGGGTCGGGTGATGGACGGTGTCCCGAGTCGGCCAGAGGTGGCCCGGGACCCTTGCGGGGCCCTTCACCGTTTTACCGTTTTAGTTTTACCACCGTTTTAACCGTTACCGTTAACCGTAAAACCGTTTTAGCCAAGGGTCCGTTGGCCAAACATGGGTCTCTGTGCCAGATATTGGATCACCTGCGGTTATCAGAGACCTTGTTGCCCCAGTAAGGGCTCTTGCGCCTATTCCGGGTCAAATGCCCAGGTCAGAACCCGCCAAAGGGCCTTCCGCGCCAGGGAGAGCGCCAGTGTAGAACGTACATCTGTGAGGGCCTTCGGACGAACCCATCAGGTGAACCTGCCTCCATGTCGCCAGAATGGCAGCTGGTAGACACCCCGGGCTGGGACGGAATGCTCTTTAAGAAATTGCCCGGAAGGGTCGTGTGCACCTAACTTTTCACTAATGTTTACACATTTTACACATTACATTACACATCATGTTTACACATTACACATTTTCAATTAATTGAATATTTTCGTATGCTGTATATCAATATGTTATTAAAATGATTTCATATATATTATCATTTTTAATTATTTCAATTAATTTGATTTTTGGAGTGTGTATAAGCCCGGTGCGTGACCACCCTCCGTTTTGGAGGGTGTATAAGCCCGGTGCCTAGCCGCCCTCCGTTTTGGAGGGTGTGTACGCGCAGCCGATAATACATAGGTTAGACAGGATGAGATAAAGTAAGACCTCTTTAGGTAAGGCATAGTTAGGCTGCTTTCATGGAAATACGCATTGGCATTTTGTAAGAAACACTGACAAAATGTTTGTTTTCCCTGACCCCATCGTAACAGAAGCCAGAGATATGTCTGTTGTGTTAGGCTTGGAAATGGGCTGATGTTTAAAACTCCAAGGGTTTTTTTGGTTTCAGTGGTTTCTTCTTGTAAAATTTTCTGTTGCTATTTTTTGTTGAATTATTCTGCTTTCTTTTGTGTTAAAAATGCTGTGGAAGGGAAGTACAAAGTGCAGCATCAAAGTAATGATATTGCATAATTTGTGTGCTCATTGCACTAATGAAATTACTATGCCTCAATGTATTCTGCTTCACTTTAAAAGTCTAAGATGTTAAAGAACAAAAAGCTTTGTCAGGTTTATGATAATACGTCCATACCAACTTGAAATAGATGTCCTTGTTTGCTAAAGCATCAGTCGCTAGCTCATAAGTTCCATCTTTTGTGAATTTAATTTTTCACTCGCCGCACGGTCTTTTTGCGATGTAATTTTTCACTACCACCCTATTTTAAAGGCGATTCTAGCTCACTGTCTTTGCATACCGCCGGTGTACATATACCAAAATCGCTGTATTTAGGAACGGTATTTACCGGTGTGCATTTTATTGTAAAAACCCACTCAACGCTCGACAACAAAATGTCGGTTTGGACGCGTTGCTAATGGG